GTCCAGCCCCAAACCTCAGAGCCTCCCACTGGCCTGGATGGGGTCCTGGAAACTTAGCACTGCAGAGTCATCAAATTTTCCAGGCTGTGTGTGTGTATGAGTGTGTGTGTGTGTGTGTGTGTGTGTGTGTGTGTGTGTGTGTGCTCACATGGCACTTCTGAAAGAGGCAGAGAAACTGGAGGGTGAGGGAGGATGGCTCAGGCCTCAGTCTGGCCAAGATGTCGAGGAAACATCCTAACCCTGTCCTTCGTCAACCCCACCTCACCTGGGGACACCTCACTCTGTTTGTTCCCGAAGAGTCTCTGTGAGCAGACATGATGGGCAGCGGTGGGAAGAAATCATCTTAACAGAATCTGAGCCAAGGAGACAAGGAGGGTGGTAAAGGGTTGGGGTCCCGAAGTCCCTGCAAAAGAGAGGCCTGTGGGGACAGAACATACTTCATAGCCAATCCTATGGACCCAGCCTTGAGGGTTTGGGCTGTGGAAGGCCCTTACCAGCCTCATCCTATTAGAGCAGCCTTGGGGACGGGTGGTAGGCTCAAAAGAGGGTAAAAAAAATCAGCCCCCACCCCGACCCCTGTGCCCCAGCAAAGATTCTCCATTCAGCAAAACTGTATCCCTCCCACCCCCACACACAAACCCACATCCTCTGCCTAGAAAACCCCTGGGGTCCTCCCAAGGTCTTGAAGCCTACCGTCTCAGTGTGGAGTGAGCCGGCCAGGAGGCAGAGGACGGGAGAGGGCTGGTCCTGGCATCATAACTTCCAAGTGTAAACTAGCCTGGTCCCTCCTGGCAGCTGCTGTAGGCTGCTCTTCCGGCTCCTCCTCTGCTCTCCCACAGCCTGAAGCCAGGCCTTGGGCATCCCCCACACTAAAGGAAGATAATTACCAGGCAGATGAGAACAGGCATCCCCTCTCCCTCCCACAGACTGGGGAAGGTCACCAGGAAAGGGAGAAGGTCCACCTTCTACTTTCGACTGAGCAGGTAGAGAGAGCTCAGCAAGGGACTGGAGGGGCGGGGGGGGGGCAGAGGGGGGAGCTGACAAGTGGGAAGGACACAGGTGACCCTGGGGGAAGGGCCATTGTGGGACAGATATCCATCCCTGGACTTGGGGGAAAGGAAGGGAATCCCCTTCAGCTTGAAGTCATGCTGCCAGGGCACTGAGTTTGGCAGCAGGCATAGCGCAGGGCTATTTCCTGGCACTCTGGGAGGGCTAGCCATGGTTCCTCTGTGTTGAGCTGGTATGGGCCATTGGTCCTCTCCACCAGGGGTGAGGGGTATGGGAAAGTCCTTATACCCGCAGGCATCAAAAAGGTCTCAGGGGGAAACGGGTCAGGGATAGGTACCTGTCACTGAGGAGTAGCCTGGGACGCGCTGGGTACCCCTCAACCTTCATGCTGTCTCTTAACTGCCCTTCTCTATCCCACTCTCCCTGCCTCCTTGGCTACGTTCTGGACTCCTCCTTGGTGAGCTCTGTCTCCCCCACACTACCGAGGACAAGCCCCTGCTTGCAGGGATAGGAAAGACTCGCTACCTCAGTATTTGAGGGGGGTGGAAACGCTTGGGGTACGGCCACCTGGCATCCTAGGGCTTCTCCAGAGAGAGAGGCACTGGGAAGGCCAGCTCAGGAGGGGAGGGTGAAAGGTAGAATGTGCCAGACCCAGGCCTCCTCCAGTCCTTTCCATGCTCAGACATAAGCAGCTACAAGGGGTTGGGATGCCTGACAGCATTTGCCTGGAGCTGCAAGGTACAAGGACTTCTGGGGATTGCAGGGGCACTTAGGGACAGTTGTGGCCCTTGGGATGGAAATGATGAGAGGGAGACCGGTGTCAAGGGAAATAAATAAATAAATAAATAAATAAATAAATAAATAAATCTCTGGCGGAGATAAAGAAAGAAGAACTCTCGGACTGGTCACAGGACCACGAGTGGGATTTGGTGGGATAAGGGGCTCCCACTGGGATCCAGGCAGACAAACATTCTGTGTCCACTCTGAAGCAAGGAAGGAGCTCTGCCCATTGTGGGCTGCTGGAAGTAGCTCGTTCTAGATCCTCTCCACCGCTAGAGTGGAACTTCCTGAAAAAGATCAAGGCTGGCTGGAAAAGGGAAGGGGAGGAAGGGATGAGCTGGGCAGAGGCAAGAGCCAGCCCGGGCCCTTCCCCAGCTCCCAGCCCTGCTCCGTTTCCCCTGCACACTCACGCCCCTGATTCCAAACGCGGGCTGTGGGCAAAGCGCTTTGCAGGCCTCACTCCACCTTCCTGACGCGGGGTTACTGTCCCACCGCCTCGAAGCGCCAGCTTGCTCAGTAGGCAGGTCCCTCTGACTTCCAACTGTGACTTTACATTCTCTAAAGTGAAGGTACTGGAACCTAATCCTCAGTCAGCAAGGCTCATCTGCGGGGTGAGAGCTAGCAGAGTGCCCTCAGCCCCCAGGCAGAGGCCGCTCCAGAAGCAGGGAAGGCCAGATGCAGGAAAGGACATGGGTCCTGTCCCACCTGAGGCCTAACGTGGAGATTCTGGTCACAAGCTTTCATGGATGCTCAGGCATCCAGGGAGAGTGGACAGGGAGGTGAGCAGACACTCAGAGAGACAGAGAGAGAGAGAGAGAGAGAGAGAGAGAGAGAGAGAGAATGTGTGTGGTGTCAGGGTCTTGCTTCAGGCCTAGATTGACCCTCCCCCCACCCACTCCTTCCCCCATCCCCCAGCTTCTTTGCTGGACCCAGAGCTCAGCGTCTGACTTCCTGAACCCCACTGGGCCCCCGTGTGTGAGGATCAAGAGGTGCTCGCAGCCAGCCAGCAGGCCAAGGCTGTGAACTGAGGACACTGGGCAGACCTGTGGGGGAGGGGCTTCTCCTACTTCCTCCTCCCTACCCCTGTGGCGTGTCCTCACTTCCTTTTCTTAATTGTCACCAGCGGGTGGCCCAGGGCGGGTGGCCCTGCCCTGCGCTCCCTCCCCCACGCTGTCTGCCCGCGTTCTAACAGCCCTGTGGGGAGGTCAAGGCAGGGATTCCCAGGCTCCTGCTCCTATTCCGCCATCATCTTGGCTGGTGCCAGCCTTTACCTCCCCGCTCTCCTGAGGAAAGCCGGCCTGTTCCTCTGAGGAGAAGAGGCGAAGAAGAAGAGGGAGCCAGAACCAACCATCCCTGGAGAGCCAAGAACGAAGACAGGTGTCCCAAGCCTTCTGATCCCAAAAGGCCATCCCTGGCCCTCGCCTCCTCCCCGCGGGCCAGAAGAAGGCCAGCCCCCCCTCCCGCCCCCCTCAGGTGCCACCCCAGTGCCTACTGCACAGGGATTCTTTTTTGGTGTCACCGTTTGACAGTTTGAATCAGAGAAGTAGGAGGAAGAGAGAGAGAGGATGCACAGTGTGAGCTCTGGGGGCCAGGAAGGGTGCTGGGAACATTACAGAGTTAAAAAAAAATAAAGTCTTGCAAGCAGGCATGAACCTCGGAGCCAGTTAGGCCAGCAAGGGACCTGTCAGGGGTGGGGGTTCTGTTCCCTCCCCACACCCCAAGCATCCAAGTGGCCCAGTGTTGAAGAGGACATGGGAAGTCCTTGATGTGAGGGCCGCAGCTTTCACCCGCCTGTGAGTGTTCTAAGGAGATGGGTGCAGAGCTCTGAGACACTCCCCTGAGAGCAGTCTGAGGGTTCCCAGAGAGCAACCCCAGATTCTTCCCCAGTTTAGCTCTGCTCTCTGTTCTCCAGCTACTACCCTGCGCCTGCAGGCTGAGGGACTCAGAGCCTGGAAGGGGTCCTCCCTGCTCAGACTTGGGCCCGTCCTTCCTGTGTAGAACAAGGAGTCCTCCCTCCTCTCCCCCCCACCCCCACCCCTCTGCCCCACATCTTTGCTCCGGGCAGATATGGCCTGGGCTTGGCCACAAATTGCCAGACTTTGAAGCTGCAAGGGCTTACAGTAGCAGAGGCCAAGACATGGACATAAGTCTCTAGCCAAGGACTCAACCAGAGGAACGGAGGGCTCCCTATGACTATCTCCTCAGCAAGGAGATAGAGGCGGGCTTGATAAAGGACCCGGAGGTTCGGACCCGGAGTGATCAGGGAAAGCCTCATCCCTCGTCCTCTCCCGGCGCCTCCGCACCCGGCATGGGTGGCACCACCGGGCTTGCTCTCCGAGGGCACAGGGAGGGTGCGCCCGACCCCTGGTGGCAGCTGCGGCGGGCGCTGCCGCGGGAGGGCAGCTGGGTGTGCGTGGGTGGAAGCCAGGAGGGGCGGAGGGAGGAAGCTGGCTTCCTGAAGCCTCTCAGTCCTCAAAGATAGACGGACTGACAGACAGCTGGCAAGAGGCAGCCTGGGGGACACAGCTGCTTCAGTGAGTACTTGAAGTGGGCACAGGCATACTCCCGACCCTGGGGTGGGGAAGCCTTGGAAACAGGAGGGCGTCTCCGAGGATGGAGGGAAGGATCAGGAGTTTGGGTTACCATGTCTGGCCAGGCATGAGTGGTGGCGGATTTGGTGTCCCTGTGGCTGGAAGGCAGAGGTAGCCACACAGAATGCCTGGAGAGAGGGGGAAAGGCCTGTTCCTGTCTTGAGGGAGTGCTGTCCACAGCACACCTGCATGGGCCCTCTGCTCCAGGCCTCTGTCCCTGTAGCTTAGCAGCTCGAATGCCACCACCACGGCACCTGTGACTTAGCTCTGGGAGGTAGGGACTGCCCCCCAAAGGAGATGCCTTCGTCACCCACCTCCAGCTGTACCCTCACCATGCGCTGGTGCTCTAAGGCTTGGTGAGGCCATTTCCTGTGACGGTTACCGAGGCGGGAGACTGGGGGATGGGAAGGAGGAGGAAGGAAACACCCCTAGCCTACCGCCCTGGATAGAGACCCCAGAAGCCACAAGTGATCTTAGAGTAGAGCTGCCAGCAATTAGGAAACGACCCTAGCAGAAGTGTGGCCTGCCTGGGCCCCCAACTGGTCCTAATGCTACTAGAGGCCTCAGTTTCTCAGTCTGAAAAAGCCCGCTGAGAGAGCTGTGAGTTTCTCCCTTCAGTGTGGCCGGCCGTCTGTTGTTCTCATTTGGACCCCAGCTTGGAGCCCTGTGGAGTTGGGTACCCTCTCTCTTCCTCCTTCCGGATTATTTCCTGTCTTCACCCATACCTACCCTCTCTATCCCCCTCCTCTTCTAACCCCAGATTGTCCCCTGTCCTGCATCCCAACAAAGAGCCCCTGCACTTACAGGATAAAACGTTAGGCCTCCAGTAAAAACCAAGAGGGTGGCTGGCCTGGGCTTAGGAGCCTCCTTCTAGCCAGTGAGGCAGGCCAGAGGCCAGCAAAGGCAGGACCTTGTCTTTCAGGAAGGCCTCATGGCTGAGTGAGCCTTCCTTGAGCCCAGCAATCTACCCCAGCATGGTCCAGACCTGTGAGGGGTGCTCCCGACCGCCACAGCCACCGACCTTGTCTTTGGGGGCAGCCATGACCCAACCTCCACCCACCAAAGCTCCAGCCAAGAAGCATGCGCTGCTGCAGGAGAGGTGAGGTGGCTCACGGAGAGGGTCTTCCTAGCCCTGGGCTGCTTTCTTTCCCTTCCTCATCCCCAGCCTTCCAGTTCTAACAGCAGAGCCCTCGAGAGCTGGAAGGAAAACTAGCAATGCTCGCTTGCATGTTGCTTGCCCTTGTTCCATGTCATCCCTGGGCCTGCTCCCTCCCAAAGTCTCAAATTGTGACGAGCAATCTCTGGGACAAGCCCAGGGGCCTTCACGGCACTGGGTCAGAGCCTCCCTCTGCGCCAGCTCGAGTGTCGAGGGGTAGGCAACATGAAAAGACGTTAAGAGCTGCAGCCTACTCTGTTCTATCTGATTAAAGGAAAGAGAACGTCATGAGGGCCTGACCCCTGAGTGCCCTGGGCCTCTAGGTCAAGAGAAAGGCGAATTGTGGCCTCAGACAAGCTCTGAGACAAGCCACTGACACGGGATGTTCACCGGGCACTGGATGGCTTTGCTTGCAGGAGGGGCTCCAGCGTGGCTCTGATGCTGGATGTGCGGTCTCTGGGTGCTGTGGAACCCATCTGCTCAGTGAACACACCCAGGGAGGTCACTCTACACTTTCTGCGCACAGCCGGACGCCCGCTTACACGCTGGGGTCTGCAGCACCAGCCACCCAGCCCCAAGCAGCTAGAGGAGGAGTTCTTGGTAAGAAGTCGGGGTCCCCATCGTGTCACTTTACCCTTGCATATGTCAGGCCAGCGTGGATTCCTGGGGACTCTCTTCTCGTTGTGGTCCTTAGGGAAGAACTCCAGGGATCAGGAGGGAGGGCAGTCCCCATCCTTGCTCTGTGTGCAGGGGGACAAAGGGAGGGTGGGAAGGGGGTCAGATATTAACTCACTTACTCCCCCACCAGAAGATCCCCTCAAACTTTGTCAACCCTGAAGACCTAGATATCCCTGGCCATGCCTCCAAGGACCGATACAAGACCATCTTGCCAAGTAAGGACCGCAGTGGGGGTGAAGGGGTAGCGTCCTTGGGGTGAAGAACTTTGAAGCCAGGCATAGAGGGACATGCCTATAATAACCCTAGCACTTGGAGGTACAAGTAAAGGATCAGGAATTCAAGGCCAGTCTTCGATACATAGGAAGTTCTAGGCTAGCGTGGTTTATGTGAGATCTTGGCAAAAATAAATAAAATTAAAATTAAAATACAAAAAAAAAAAAAAAAAAAAACTCACCTCATCCAAGGAGGAACAACGATGCTTGAGACATCATCTTTCAACAGAGAAATACTAACACCACCCTGGCAGATAGGAGATAGACAGCGACTACAAGATAGCATTTGCAGAAGTTTACTGTGGGCCTGTGTGGTAGGGGTGAATTCACATAGACAGACCCAGGCCTCGCCACCTCCTGCTTTTCAGGCTTGAGTCCTACAGGGGCTTCCAGAACTGTGGTCTGAATTCAGCCCAGCACATGGGCCCTGCCCTGGGCTGAGCCTCCATGCTTGCTCACTGCCTGCTTGAATAGACCAAAGCTCTGAGAACACTCGTCAAAGTGAGTCTGTTAGCCTCTGGCCTTGGCCTAATTATTGCAAGCTCTGCCACCGCCCAAGATGGGAAGGCAGTTCCTTCATCCCTCATCCGGTTTGATTGGGGAAAGACCCACACCTTTGGAGAGAGAGGCCAGTGTCCCGTGTCCCTGGTTTCTGAGTGATATCTTAGACAATGTATTCATCTGAAGCTTGCATTCACAATCAGAAGAAAGTTTTCCCTCTGCAGAATCTCTTCCCATTCCTAACAGTCCCCTCCCATTTTATCCCCTTGCTGATCCCCAAGGCTAAAATATGACAATATCCCAATTGGTCTCTGCAGCTCTGTGGTCTGTCCTATACAGCATCATTCAATTAATATTTCCTCTTTGACTGTATCCCTTTCCTGCCCAATAACCTTGTGGATCCCTATCATCACGAAATACTATATTTTATGAAACATGGGTCTATAAAATAATTCAGTTGAAGGCCTGCAATTCACAAAGCATGGTAAGCAGTGTGAGGGTACTCTCCCTCTGACTCTGCCAGAGTCTGTATCTGTTGGCACCCTCTGACCTTCGTTGATCTCCACTTCCTAGATCCTCAGAGCCGTGTCTGTCTTGGCCGGGCACAGAGCCAGGAAGATGGGGGCTACATCAATGCCAACTACATCCGAGTGAGTCTGGCTGCTGCAGCCGGTGGGGGCAGACTGTTTTTAAAGATGAAAATGCCACATGACGCCGTCCAGGGGCCTGCGTTTCGCTCCTTGGTCTCTTCCTATCTCTGCCAGGCTGAGGGGGTGGGGAGAGAGGACACTCTGGACCACCCCCAAAGCAACCTAGAAAAGGCGTTAAAATTTCCAAACCACTGCGGCTGGGGAGACGGCTCAGCAGTTAAGAGCACCGGCTGCTCTTCCAGAGGACCCGGGCTCAGTTCCCAGCACCCACACGGTGGCTCACAGCTGTCTGTAACTCCAGTTCCAGGGGATCGGATTCCCCATACAGATACACTTGCTGGCAAAACACCAATGTATACAAAATAAAACTAATTTAAAAAGATTTCCAAACCACCTTAACCTTGGCTGTTATCCTATTCATGACAACCCTCTAAACACGGCAAAAAGTTGACATGGCTGAACCTAGTCAACTACTTTCTTCAAGGCTGGGTGTCTCTTAAAACCTGCACAAAGCCAGCACAAGTGTGAATCCATGTCCCTGTCATCTCCCGTCCCGTACTCATTCCCTCCCCGACACCCCCCCCAACCCTGTACCAAGTAGTAACTCCTTTGTAGAGACAGATTGATGTCCAGCTAATTGCACCCTCAAAGCAAGACACCACCTAGCCCGGTGTGGCCTGTGATGTGAAAGCAGTGCCCCCTGGTGGCCAAATGTGATAGGACAGCAAGGGTCTGTCAGCCAGGAAACAGTAGACAGGTGGGTCCTCTGCTTGGCAGCAGGAAGCAGACACACAGGGAGTGCATGGATGCTGGAAGGATGATGGGAGGGTTAGGATGATAGAACAGGGGAGAACATGTTAGGGAGAGTATGCTGGGTTTTGGTGCCAAATATATAAAAGTGATTCGTGGAATGTGAAACGTTCGATTACAAATATTGAGGACTATCATACCTCGTACCAGAAGAAAGCAACAGAGGACGGGTAAACACGCGTACGGCACCTGTGAGAGACAGCCAATATACTTTGTTGAGTTTAATTCACGCTGTGTTATGAGGCAATTGCTAGGCCCAGTCTATAGGTCGGGAAACGGAGTCTCACAGCGAGGAAACAGGCCGGGATCTGACCCAGGTGTTGCTCATTGGGGCTCCCGTGTCTTCCGCCAACATGTGGCCTGGGGGGGGGTGTGTCTGTGTGCTCCCGTCCCCTGGCTTTAGCCTGACCCCAGCACCTGTGGAGTGTGAATTCACACCATCTCTGTCCTTCCATGCTTTGTCTCCCCAGGGCTATGATGGACAGGAGAAGGTCTACATTGCCACCCAGGGCCCCATGCCAAACACTGTCGCAGACTTCTGGGAGATGGTGTGGCAAGAGGAAGTGGGTGTCATTGTCATGCTCACCCAGCTCCGAGAGGGCAAAGAGGTAGGAGGCAGGGTCACCCAGAAAGGGTTGTACCCTGCCTTCCCACAGCACCCAAGCAGAGCACACCGGAAGCCTCGGTGGCCACTGACGACAAGGCCCAGGACTCATCTCCGGGAAAGACTCTTGAGACCCAAACGCGGGTGGGATGACACTATAAAGTTGAAGCGTGGGAGAGCCAGACTCCAGGCACTGGCCCGGGCCATGACGTGAGATAGAAAGAAACACTAGGGCCTCTCTCTGCTGCCCTAGCCTTGCCCCACCAACGGACCTTCCCACTTTGACTCCCAGATCCCTCCCTTCTAGAAATGTGTGCATTACTGGCCCACAGAAGAGGAAACTTATGGGCCCTTCCAGATCCGCATCCAGGAGATGAAAGAACACCCCGAATATACTGTGAGGTGGCTTACCATCCAGGTACCATCCCCTGAAACCGACCAACGGGAGGTTTGGGCCACTCTAGCATCTCTGGAGCTCTGGAACTCCGGCTTCACTAAGGACCAAGTTTACAAATCTAAGCCTTGCTCCTACACTTAAAAGAGATGCCATAAAAGAAAAAGAAACGGGTACAACCCTCCAGGGCACCTCTAATTTAATGGGGATGCACCCAAAAGAAAAAAGCGAACAAATATGGACCGTCAGGAAGCACCCTCTCCCCGTGCTACATATCCAGACTATGGGAGAGAGGATAGACCCAGGAGAATGCTGGAAGAGTGAGGAGACATCAAAAGAGATACGCCAACACGCGTGGATGTACTGTAAAAATGCTTTCTAGGCACCAGAGAGATTGTTCAGTGGGTAAAGGTGCTTGCTGCCAAGCCTGAACCTGAGTTCGATCCCTGGGGCCCACATAGTGGGAGGAGGGAACTGACTGGAAGGACACATAGCAAGACTCCCATCTAGAGCGAAGGGAAGGAGGGAAGAAGAGAGAGAGGGAGGGAGGCAGGAAGAGCTTTCTGTTGCTATACACATTCTTACAGTTTCAAATTACTTTTGTGTCAATTCATTGTTTCCCAAGCATCCTGCTTACTAGAGAAGAATATGAGATCAACATACTTACCCATGCTTGTGTGATAGAGGCAAAGCCAAGACTTGGGCCTGGGTCTTTCTCTCTCACAAAACGCTCCCCTTCCGTGAATTTTGGAGTGGGTCGGGTAGAATAGCAAAGCAGAAGGAGAATCAGTTTTGCCCGTCTGAGTCTAGCCAGCTGGTACTCACCGGCCGACACCAGGAGTAGGCAGCAGCCACGCCCGCATCTGGGTTCTCTCGCCTTATTCTCTCGTTTTCTCCTGTCCCAGCACCAAGAGGAATGCCGCTCAGTGAAACACATACTCTTCTCCGCTTGGCCGGACCACCAGACTCCGGAATCGGCTGGGCCTCTGCTGCGCCTGGTGGCTGAGGTGGAGAGCCCAGAGACAGCGGCCACCTCTGGGCCTATCGTGGTCCACTGCAGGTAGGGCGTCCCTAGCCTCAGCCTAGAACCAGTGCTGCCTTCCCTGCCCATTAGGACTCACGTGGGGAGGTGTCCACACCAGACAGACCCAACCCTTGCCTGGACAGGAATGTCCAATCCAAGAGATTCTGTGTTATTACCTCTTTTCTACCAAGCCCTGCCTTGTGGGACATTTCTATCGGGTAGAGAAGAGATAGACATGGCCTCCACTGTTAGGAAGCTCACAGGCTCATTGGACCCTGTTTTGTTTGCTTGGGATCTTCTAGTGGTTGGGGTTTTTGCTTTGTTTTGTTTTCTTTTCAGTTTAGATTTTGTTGTTGTTGTTTGGTTGGTTGGAATTGTTTTTTTGAGACAGGGTTTCTCTGTAACTTTGGAGCCTGTCCCGGAACTCTGTAAATCAGGCTGGCCTGGAACGCACAGGGATCCACCTGCCTCTGTCTCGAGTGCTGGGCTTAAAGGCTTGCGCCAGCACTACACAGCTGTTTTTGGTTTTGTTAGATTTGTTGTTTGTGCTCAGCTCCGAGCGTTAATTTTAAATGGTTAAGTCTGGGGTGTTGGATTCAATTCCCAGCATCAACAAAAAATAAAACAAACTAGCAAATCTAGGTGTCTCTGCCAATTCCACAAGGTCCCTTCGTTAGGTCCTTCCCACCTTCAAGACTGGTTTCCTACCAGTGTCTGCACATATGCGCTCCAGCCTTGCCCTCTGACCCTGCTCCTGGCAAGTGTATTTTTCAGTTTACTCCCTGGGCATAGGCTTTCGAGTTCAAAGCCACTCTGAACTGCATAGGGAGTTCAAGGCCAGCCTGGGCTACATGATACCATGTTGAGAAGGGAAAGGAAGGGAGAAGGAGGAGGAAAAAGGAAGAGGCAAGAAAGTACAAGAAGGAGTGTCTGAACCCATGCAGAGGTGGGGTGGGGTGGGGGTCACTGGTGAGTCCTGTGAGAAACACGTGTGAGGCCTAGCTAAGGGGCAGAGAAATCAAGAAAGGGGTGTGAGGGAAGAGAAAAAGAATTCTCAAGGTGATAGGGCCAAGAAGAAGACATCAGAAGAGGATGGGGGCCCCAGAGCATCTGTGGAAGCTGGCCTGAAGCTGGGAGGAGCTGTGGCCAGACAAGGGGTACTCAGGGGACAGCCAGTGCACAGGCAGGCACTGTCCGTTAGACGGCTCAGACCATAAACACAGACGCAGTCATCAAAGTGTGCACTGCAATAGGGCGTGTCGGTGCACCCACAGCTGAGCATCCTCCAGGTTGCGGCAGTGAGGCTGCTACTTAACGGTCCGTCTGGGCTACCTGGCTAGATCCCGCTATTGAGGTGCCTCCGTGGGTAAAGCGCCTGCAGCCAAGCCTGGCAGCCTGGGTTCCATCTCTGGGCTCTACATGGCCTAAGGAGAGAAGTGATTCATGAAGGTTGCCTTCTAACCTTCACACATGCACCATGGCACACATGTACACATGCACACACTCACCACACACAAAGTGAATAAAGAATGTTCTTTAAAAACCTGGGTAAAGGACAGACATGGCCTTTAATCCCAGCACTTGGGAAGCAGGGGCAGGCAGATATCTGTGCGTTTGAGGCCAGCGTGTTCTAACCAGCGAGTAGGGAGTCTGGGCTATATAGTAAGTTCCAGGCAGCCCTGGGCTACCTCAAGGAAACCAAACTAAACCCTGGGTATGGGGATGTACACATATAATCCCCACATTTAAGACGTGGAGGTTTGGTTGGATCAGGAGTCCAAGGCCAGCCTGGACTACATAGCAAGTTCCAAGCCAGCAGGGCTCATGAGCCTCTATCTGAAAAAAAAAAATCAATTTTTAAAGTTCATAGAGCCAGTCATAGCGGTACACACCTTTAATCCCAGTGCCCAGAAAGCAGATAGATGCAGGTTGATCTCTGTGAGTTCAAGGCCAACCTGGTCTACATAGTGAATCGCAGGACAGCCAGGGCTACACAGTGAGGTCCTGTTTAAAAAGACAAGAATTAATTACTTACAGTCTGTAGGAAGCAGAAGGCAAGCCATGCGCTGGGCTGGGCCTAGAATGAAGCTAATAAGGCTCACAAACCTGTGTAGGATGGTCTGTTATCTGCCTCCCTCAGGGACGCCGTGGATGCTGAAGTTGGAGGTTTGAGGACTCCGCTCCACCAATAGTAAACTTCAGCCCCATTTCTTTGCTCATTGTTCCACGTCTACCCCCACCCTTCCGTGCTCACCTGTCTCCCTGTTGCCTGTGCTCCTGTGACATGCCGGTCTTCTCTCTGGTTATGTCCAGTGCAGGGATTGGCCGGACAGGCTGCTTCATTGCCACCCGCATCGGCTGCCAGCAGCTGAAGGCCCGAGGGGAAGTAGACATTCTGGGCATCGTGTGCCAATTGCGCCTAGACAGGTGGGTCCATAGGAAGCAGGGGCAGCCATGTTAATTGGCAGTGACGTTGGTGGTTCGGAGGTACTGGGCACATCACCTTCAGGCCCTCCTAGAAGCAAGCAGGGAACCCGTTTTATTTTAAAAGCTTCCTATTTTGCCAATAACTAAGCCTGCATGCATGAAAGATCATATGAATAGCCAGGTGTTGGTGGCTCATGCCTTTTAATCCTAGTACTCGGGAGGCAGAGGCAGGCAGATGTCTGTGAGTTCGAGGCCAGCCTGGTCTATAGAGCAAGTTCCAGGACAGGCTCCAAAACAATACCCTGTCTTGGAAAACCAAAAAAAAAAAAAAAAAAAAAAAAAAAAAAAAAAAGAGGAAGGAAGGAAGAAAGAAAGGAAAGACCATCTGAAATGTTAACTTGGGAACCTGGAGTTAAACATGTCACCCTGAATTTTCCCTCAATGCCCCCCAAATTCTCTCCTCGGGGTAAAGCTAGGAACAAGACACAGTCATGGAGAGGTAGATACTGCATGTCTGTAATCCCAGCGCTCAGGAAGCTGAGGCAGGTGGAAGGGAGTTCAATGTGGGCTCCACAGGGTGACTCTTGTTGATTTCCTTTCTAAAAAGATACAACTTGTTCTAGATACAAAGTAGCTAAGATGCTCGCTGGGTTTAGAGGAGGATAAGCAGGTGTGTGTGAGCCACTAGCTGTCGCCATAATTCTGTAGTCTTGAGTCAAGTTTTCTACACATTCATGGGTAGGCTGGAGCTCACTGTGTAGACTAGCCTGGCCTCGAACCCACAGAGAGCTATCTGCCTGCCTTGGTCTCCCAAGTGCTGGCATTAAAGGTATGTGCCACTGCACTTAGTAGCTCCATTTTTATCTAGGGAGGTAATGTCTATTCCCCTAACTGGCAGAAGAAATGGGTTTACTTATCTGAGTGTTCTAGAAATTGGACCTGCTGTACACATGTGGGGTTAACTTTTTTTATTTATTTTATGTGCATTTGTGTGAAGGTGTCAGATTCCCTGGGACTGGAGTTACAGACAGTTGTGAGCTGCCATGTGGGTGCTGGGAATTGAACCCGGGTCCTCTGGAAGAGCAGCCAATACCCTTAACCACTGAGCCGTCTCCCCAGCCCTGGGTTAACGGTTTTTATTAACAAGTGGAGAACTTGAGCATGGGAACAGAACACATTCTTGACCCAAACTGACAAATCAGGTCTGATTTTGCTCAAAATCTGGATGGATAAGGGACAGAGCATCCCGATGATGGGGTACTGCCCCCTGCACCTCCCTCCTGGGGGGCTGCCCTGGGAGGGGCAGTAAAGAGGAAGTGGGAAGGGTGAGTATGTGGGGAGGAGAGAGTCAGGGCTTCTGCAGCAGGAGCATGGGAGGGAATGCTTAACCGCAGGCAGCCACAGGGCAGGTGCCCATTCTTCCTCACCCTGTGCTTCTGCTTACAGAGGAGGCATGATCCAGACTGCAGAGCAGTACCAATTCCTGCACCAAACACTGGCCCTGTATGCCGCCCAGCTGACCCAGGAGCCCAGCCCCTGACCCCTGGCCCTCCACCAGTCCAGGGCCCAACCTCCCCTCAGGCCTGGGACGGTGGATCTGGGGAAGTGGACTGTGTGCTCTGGGGCTGTTTCTTCACATCCTGGAAAGGGAGCCCCAGTGGTGAGAATACTAATAGCCCCAGGGAATTATCCCAGCAAACAACAGGGGCCAGGCCACAGGGGCCCTGCCTCCTCCAGCGGCCCCCAGTGGACTACAGCGCAACTTCTGGTGGCTCTGAATTTACAGATAGGAGCTGCTACTTGGAATGAATGGAGAAAGAAGCTGGGTTGCTGGTGTCCCCTCTCTGTGGCCTTTTTTTCCTTGTTGGTGACACAAAGAGTCCGTCCTTGGCTACCGTCATAGAAGCAAACAGAATGTTCCTGAAAGCCATTCCAGATGTGGTGCCGCTCCTGGGGCTTCTGAGACAGTCACTGCAGTGTACCTCTTCCATTAAGGCCTTGGCCCCACACAGGCCAAATGCAAGAACAGAGCAAAGTCTTGTCTAACCTTGGCGAAATCCTCTGCATCCCGCATAGACTGCTGCTGCCCATCCACCTGGGAGTGCTAGGTGACCCCCTCAGAAGAAAACAAGGACCCTGCCTCTACACATGTCACAAAAGGAGATGCAGAGGAAGCCAGTCTAGCAGCTGAGATGGCTGGAAGAGCCCAGGTGTGATGATGCATACCTGTCATCCCAGGAGCAGAAGTTTGAGGCTGCCTAGGTCTACATTTTGAGTTCTGGGCCAGCCAGAACTACATAGCAAGACCTCTTAAATTAAAAAAAAAAAAAAATCACTCTTGAGCTCCCTGGAAGAGGTAATGTATGGGGACCATTCAGAGATCAGGAGGGTTCCTGCTGCCTCTATGACTCTATGACTTCCTGCCATCTGCTCCCCAGCCACTCTCCAGGGAAGTTCGGCACACTCTGCTTTGCTGGCATGACTTTACAGCATTCCCTGGGTACCCATGAAGTACCAAAGAAAGAGGAGAGAAGGAGAAACGAAGGGCTGTGTCTGCTTCTGGAAAACCAGCCTGCCCATCCTTCCTGGGCCTGTATTTATTTGCAGAGCACACCTGGATAGCTTAGCTGGCTCCAGAAACAGGCTGGGCTGTCACACTGCATGCAGCACAGGGCTAAGACCGAGCCTCAGGCTTCATCTATCTCAGGGACGGCACAATTTTCAGAACCTATCTCAGGGTTGAACTATATACACCAGAAAGTCAGACAAACCCTGAGTCGTCCTTGATCCCATTTGGGCTGACTGTGGGGACGGAGGTGAGACACCATTCCTGCTGTCTGAGCCTCAGCTCCTGGATGTGCTGTGGCTGGCATAAGTCCTCTGTGAAAACCACAAGGAGCTCGGTCCTGGTGAGTGCTCTTTTGCTTCGTGGCATCTCTCTGAAGGACACACAAAGCTGCTGGGCCTGGTGGCACAAGCCTGTGATCCGCACTTGGAAAGTGGGGGCAGGAGAATCAAGAGCTCTGAACTAGCCTTGGCTGTATGAAACCCTGCCTAAAAAACAAAGAGACAAAAAGAAACTAAAACAAACAAAAACAAAAAAGTAGTATGATGCTGAGGTTACAATTCTTAATGGTCTGCCTCACCTTACCTGGGCACTCCACTCTAGCCTTGGGGTGATGGCACTTGGATTTCCACATTCCGAAGCTCCCTGGAAGCTCTGTGCTACCCCCACAATAGCTTCTAAAGTACCCGATGCTGCCATGAGCTCAGAGCCAGTCTGGAAGGGAGCGATTGCCCAGCCCTATGGGCACCCTCCTTGTTCTAGAGGGCACAGGCTCTAGAAAAGCAATCACTAGGAGGGAAAAAAAGATTTTTTTTTTTTGGATGCCCAGTTAATTCTTTTTTTCCACCTTCTTAGGCCTCTAGGGCTCTCTCTAGCAATACAGAACAGGCTGCTGCATCTTTACCCCTGGGATACATTCTTTCCCAGTGTTTCTAAGGACAGGTGACAAAATGAAACTACAGTCAATGTAGAAGTGGCACATGGGGTTACCACCTTACCCCTTCAGGGTGCTGTAACAAAGTACCATACACTGAGTAACTTATTAACAACAGAAATGTGTTGTTCATGGCTTAAAAGATAGGAAAGCCACTGGTCAAGATACTCAGAGTCTAGTTAGGACTCACTCTTTGGGCTTCAGCCTCATGATGGGAGAAGTATGGGTGTGGTCTCTAGCCCTCGACTTATATATAACGGTACTAATCTTATTTGGGAGGGTTCCACCCTCATAACCTAGTCACCTCATAAGCTCACTTGGAGGGTTGGGTTGCAGTATATGGATCTGGGGGAAAGACAGAAATGTTGAGCAATGAAACCTATTGGCTTAAACTTTAATTTAAAAAAATCCAACTGCAGCACGTGCCTTCAGGACAATAGAAGAACTTACAAAGGCAGGGCAGGTGTTCCTTAATAAGTAGGAACAATGGGCTGATCCAAGATGTCGGGAGTCATATCTAACTCTTGGGTAGGTTTGATTCATACCATTGATATTAACAATGCACCTTTACTTAGGACAACAGAGCCCATCTGAGTACCCGCTTGAAAACCGAACCCAAAGGCTTGGTGGGAACACTGTAGGAGCCCAGCCGCCCTGGGATCCTGGGACCAGGAAGGTACAGCCAGTTAAAGGGACAGGCCCTGCCTGGGATTAGCTCCTGCAAGGGAGTGTGGGAACATCTTGGCAGCCCCCCCCCCACTACAGAAACTTTTTTTTTTTTTTTTTTTAACACAAAATCAGCACACATTTCTCTTCTGCCACCAACGTTCCTCCCTGGGAGTCCCCTGCCCTAATTCTGCCTGTTCCCATATGGTGACAGACAATACTGGTAAAGATCAGATTCAAGTTCAGACATCTATCTTCTCACTTTGGGCTTCCTAAACAAGTGGCCTGGTAAACAAAACAAGATGGAGTACTAAAGGCTCTAAATCCGGCTGTTACTCTCCATGGCAATTCGGGGGATGGGACTCGGTACCCAGGGATGCTCAGAGGGAGCAAAACCATACGCCGCCGCCGTCGCCCTTTCTCGGAAATCTTCCTGCCACCGTCCTTCAGTCTGGAAACGCTCTAGCTGCTCGCCTCGGGCGGGCCAACCCTTCGAGACAGACAGCCGTGCAGTCAGGGCGGGGCAAACGAGGGCAACGGAGAAAAATAAAATTACGGTTTTCTCCGCAAGCGCCCCGTCACGCTCCTCCCGGGTCCCCGGCGCCCCGCCCGCGGGCGCTGGCCCAGGCCGCGCGCGAGACTGGAGCGCGCTCGGGTGCGAGCAGGACGCGGCCCGGCCCGCGGGAGGGCGGCGGCGGCGGCGGCGGGGGAGGAGGAGGCGGCGCTGAGGCCACACCCATCGGCGAGCGGATCCGCGGGCAGCGCGTCGTCGGCCGCCGCGCTCCAGCCTCCGCCCGCACCGAGCCCGCGGGACCCGGCCGCACCGGGGAGGGGCCGCTCCGGGCCGCAGCGCGAGGGCAGCGAGGGCGGCGGGGACCCGGCACCGGGCGCGGCCGGCGGCAGCGACCATGATCGCTTTGTTTAACAAGCTGCTGGACTGGTTCAAGGCCCTATTCTGGAAGGAGGAAATGGAGCTCACGCTGGTGGGGCTACAGTACTCGGGCAAGACCACCTTCGTCAACGTGATCGCGGTACGAGGGCAGCTGTGGCGGCCCGCGCCGCGCCCTGGGCAGCCCGAGTCGGCGCCTGGCGTGGCCGGGCACCGCCAGCCGGGCGCTGGGCAGGGAGGAGCCGGCTCCGGGCGCTTGGGGCCTAGCACGGTTCTTGGGGGACCAGCTGGCGTGCTACCCGTTCTCAGGCCTGGGCCGGGATGGCAGAGCTGGGGCCGGGATGGCGAGAAGGAAGGGACCGAGCTGGAGTTATGGGGCTGGTGGTACCGAGAGGTCTCCAGGCACCGGGGACCCGCCGCAGGCTGTCAGGCCCCCGCGGCTCGCGCACAGGGGGCATGACAGGGCGAAAGTGCCCGGGCCCTCGCGATCCGCGCGTGGAGGGTCACGGGACGCGCGGTCCGAGCGTGTTACCGGGGGTCCTCCCAGCCCAGCCCCACCCTAGGGCTCCGTCTCCCCCTTGCTGCACGCGGAAGCCCTAGCCCTTTGGGGCGGGGGAAGGTATCCCCAGAGGCTGAGGAGTCAGCTGAGGTCCTGACTCCAGCCCAGACTCCTCCCCGGAACCTGTCCCGGGCCTGCGGTATCGCGGGGGTCCAGGAAGGATGGCACCATAAAGGAAGCTGGGAGAGTCCGCTTGGCTCAGAAGTTGCAGGAGTAGGTACCGTGGACCCGAGAGGATGAGTTGGAGGGGCGCCATCCACCTGGGGATAGGGGACAGAGCAGCTCCGAGGGCCTTGGGGAGTCAGGGCTGCGGGGTGAGGGTGACTGCGGTTGTATATCTGTACCAGAGGAGTGGGGTAGAAGGAGTTAAATTTTCTCTTTAAAAAAGAGGAAGATGAGCTCCCTGGGTGTGTGAGCCGAGCTGCAGTAATGGCTGCAGCCTGTATTTCAAAGCTAGGCAGACTGGGCTTTTGGGACCCCGGGAAAGCTTGGGACAGGGGCATAGTTTTTCCCAGCACCTAGCCTCGTTCCCAAAGATGGATTTCTCCAGAGAACTGTGAATTAGCCAGATACCGGTAAAAATGCTGATGTGTAGGTCTGGAAAGGTGTGTGGCCAGCCAGCTTCGGTACCACCACTTGACTGTATTGTATTGTTGTCCAACCTTGAAGCCCCACAGAGCTCAGCATCCTTGCTGGAGAGCCCTTCATTGGGCAGATGGAAAGCTGGATGGATTTGGGACTTAATGGATTGGGCATGGGCGTTCTCTCTTTCTCTCCCCGAAACATGCTCTGCCATTGACCTCTATACGCTTTTCTACTCAGTGCCTCTTTTTATTCCACGGGACCTCTGCTGAGGTTTGGGACGTGTTTTTCTGAACTAACACGTGCCTCTAGCTTCTGTTTGCCATCCTGTGCCCCTAGGATCAGAAAACCCTGGTTAGGCTTAGTATTGGCTTGCCTCTTGGGCTATCAGAGCAGGAAATCAACACCTGGATTTCCACCTGTCTTTGTAGACCTAGGTGGCTTGATTTGGGACTTAGATATTTCTCAAAGGGAGGAACTAGCCAATTGGACTCAACCTAGACATCACCTCCTGTCCCTAGAGAGTGTTAGTAAAGCCATGCTTTTGTATAGGGATACACAAATACCTAGGTGAGGTCAATTTCTTGGCCTGGACATGCCCTTCAAGACCAGCATCTCCTCGGAGTATGGAAGGATATGACAGGTCAGGGATGGAAACCAAATTCTCAGGTTCTACTGCCAGAGTCAAGAGGTTCTCCGAAACTAAGCATGATGGAACATGCCTGTAACCCATCACTCTGGATGTTGAGACAGAATGCCAAGGCTGAGAGCAACCTGGGCCTGGGCCGTAGAGAGAAAGAGACTTAGCCTCAAAAAAAAAAAAAAAAAAAAAAAAAAAAAAGAAAGAAAGAAAGTTTGTATGATGTTCAACATAACCTCCATTCCCCAGCTCCTGTATTCTCCATTTCAATACAAAATTTACCACTAAAAGATAAGTCAAATTTTCCTTCTCTGAAGAGACTCTAACTACCCCTTGGGGGGCTGCAGGGAATTCTAGCATCCGGGTAACTCCAGCAGTCTCAAGGCCCACCAGAGTCCCCACAGGCATTCTGCCACTCCCCTACAATACAGAAAGATTGGGGACCCCTGGGCTCCGTGCCCATGCCCGCCACTGACTTCCTGAGTTGCCTTTGCCCGTTACTTGGCCTCTGTTTGTCTTAGCAAACAGAGGAAAACGCTTGTGTTTTCCTCCCAACTGAGATCTGGCTATGGATAGAAACTGAGTTTAGTGAGCACAGGTGCTCGGCAGGTTAAATGTGAACTGGAAAGGCAGTACACACAGAACCAAGGCAGCATGTCTGAGACACCGAAACTCTACTCGGTACCAAGAAAGCTGTGACACTAGGAAAGCGTCAGATAGGTTTTTGTCCGAGAGAAACAAAAGGTCATTCTTTCTTCTTCGAGGCCCGAGTCTGGTTTTGAGCTCTCATTCCTGTTGCTGTGCCCGTCAAAGGGGTCATTTCAAACGCCTTAAAATATGAAAGGTCATCACCATAGAAGAACTAGTCTTGGGGTACCCAATGGGACGAAGGGGAGAGGTCATGGGAAGATGTATTTTGAGTCATAAAGAACTTTCTGATAATTTGAAGTAATCCAAGAGGGAATGAAAGTCTAGCACGGTGGTACACACCTATAGTCCTAGCCATTCAGGGACCGAGGCAGTAGGATTAGGGGTTGAAGGCCAGTCAGGACTACCTCATCTTAAAAAAAAAAAAAAAAAAAAAAATTAAAAATGGAGGAGCTAGGGATGTAGCTTAGTTGGCACAGAGCTTTCCTAACACGCATAATGCCTTGGCTTCAAGCCCCAGCATCACATAAAACCAGACACAGGAGGATAAGAAGTTCAGGGTCATCTCTGGCTACATGCCAGTTTGAAACCAGCTTGGGATACAGGATACCCTATCTCAAAAAAAAAAAAAAAAGAAAGAAAAAGAAAAAAGAAAAAGAAAGAAAAAAAGGGAAGAAAGAAAGGGAAAAGAAAGAATGACCTAGAGTAGATTCAAGCATGAGATTCCATGACGTAAAGTTGCTTCCATCCTTACAGGAAGAATTTGAGTCATTAGCGGGGAAATTAAATCATAGCCTGATTGCAGCGTAGCTCCAATTCACAACTGAGCAGAAACTCGGTGTGTTGGAGGGCCTGGCTGTCCATCCATGGTCACACTCTCCAAGGGTCCTCTCTCATCTATTTGGGAGCCTATGGCTCTTCTAGTTCCTGAAGACCAATGACCACAGTCCCATGCTGCATCAGAGCCACTCGCAAGAGCTTTGTGAGCTGTATTCATCAGGAGCCCCCCAGTCCCAGCTACTCTAGGGTCCTGAAGGAGGATTACTTGAACACCGGAGTTACCATCCATCCAAGTATTAGCCAGGCCCAGCCTTGCTCAGCTCCTGAGATCAGACAAGATCAGGCATGATGAGGGTCCTGCGGCTTAATTATCTCTAAGCTAACCTGGCAGCATAGCCTGCATTCAATACCAGGTTCCACAAAGGTTGCAGGAAGGAATCAACTCTCAGAAGTTAGTCTCTGACCGCCACAGCCATGCTGTGGTGCGCGTGCACACACACAGATAAGGGAATAGATAAATATAAATTATGTGGTAAGATGCGTAGTTTTGTTTTGTTGGGTTTTTGAGATAGGATCTCATGTAGCCCAGGCTGACCTCAAACTTACGGTTTAGCCTCTGCTGACCTTGTACTCTTGACTTCCCCCTCTACCTCTTGAATGCTGGGGTTTCAGGAGGGTACTGCACCCTGTAGAACACTACTATGCCATTTCCATATAAGGGACTTGAATATCTTCAGATTTGGGTAATTGAGGTGGGCCCTGGACCAACCCTGGATGGTTATGCATCCAGGGGGCCTCCCAAATCCGGCTATGGTTCTCAAATTCTTCACCCCGCTATAGCTTGTCCCTGGGCCTTGGGTGGCCCCTGCAGGTCCAAGGGAATAGCAGTTGTCCAGTCCTCGACCTCTCGGAGGCTTCTGGACACTGAGTGGGAACTGGCTACCTCCTCCTCCTTGGCTAGTGTAGAGCCCATGGCCTCTGTATAGGGTGCAAGCAAATTAGTGTACAACTAAAAAGTACACTAAAAAGTACCTAAAAGGATGTGGTCAAGTCACTGTCAGCTTAAAAGTGAAGTCAACCCCCTTCCCTGTGGCCTCCACCCTCTGTCCTGGTCTAACCCTTGAATGTGAAGATAGCCTGGGAGGAGGTGGGTCTGGCCTTGTTTGAAGCCTGTGGCTACTTTAGAATAATTCCGAGATTTTAGAAACGGTGGATAGGGGAAAGGGAAAGTCCCTAGAAATGGAAAGGGATTGTGGGAAGCGGAATCATGGTCAGCCCCCAGACACTCACTAGCGCTGCTGCTGTAACTATAGGCCTGGACCCCTCCCCCCCCCCCGGGAAGTTTTCAACCCAGTAGAGAGACACACATATAGGTAAATGGTAGACATCGTGGATTGTCCATGGTAGGGCACAACAAATCGACGCTTTGAGTAGACCTGGAATTATTTAGATGCATTGCATTTCGAGGGTGGTGAATTTAGTCCCAACCCACCCAACCCGGACAGGGTCTCTTTATATAACTCAAGCTGTCCTGGACTCTCTATGTAGACCAGGCTGGCCTCAAACTCTCAGAGATTCATCTGCCTCTGCCTCCCCAGTGCTGAGATTAAAAGCATGTACCACCATGCTCAACTCCTCCTGATAAAAAAAAAGAAAACAATTTACTACTAGTTTGACAATAAGTCTGCTTCCCTTGGTGTGCCTTGTGTGGGGCCTCTTTCCCTGAGAAGTAATTTATTGTCCTAGCTCAACTGGAGACTGAGTAAAAGGGCTTCTGGTAGCAAGAAGTGTAGGTTAGACCTTGGGAAGCCCTTTTTCCCTGCCTAGACTGAGAGACTCTGAGATTGCCAATGGATCGTGGCCCTTTCCCCCATAGAACTCCAGGTATGGAGGGTACCTCGGTCGGTGACCAGCCATCCTGCCTTTTGAAAGTAGGAGACATCCAAGAGACACCTCCCGTGACTACGCTGAGCAAGTCGGGTCTGGCTGATACCTCACCCTGCAGCCTCTTGTTGTGAACCCATCAGGGAGGGCATATTTGGGTCCTGTGGCTGTTTGCATCTTTTCCAATTCTGGCTCTTCTTTCTAGTCAGGACAGTTCAATGAGGACATGATCCCCACTGTGGGTTTCAACATGCGCAAAATCACCAAAGGGAACGTGACCATCAAGGTGAGGGCAGGGGGCTGCAGAGGACCGCATGTGTTTGGGAGGGCACCGAGGCCTCTGGGAAGAGCCAGCCAGGGGAGGGCAGAGCCACGTCCTGTTGCCGGGGAGCTGGGAGCAGAGAACTGGAAATATGAAAGGCGGAGGGATGGGAGAGAAAGAGGTGTGACCCACGGGGTATCGGGGACAGAGGAAGGGAAGCTTGGGGACCCAGGTGGCTTTCAGTGGCCTCCCTGATCCTGAGGCGGCCTTCCCCCCCCCCTTTTCACTCAGCTCTGGGACATTGGGGGACAGCCTCGTTTCCGCAGCATGTGGGAGCGCTATTGCAGAGGAGTGAGCGCCATCGTGTAAGTAGGGTCTCCCGCCCTCCCGCGCCTGCACGTAGACATGGTCTCTGGTGCATATCGGTACCCGGACATGGCCTGCTTTTATATTTGCATGCTGTTTATCTTAGTAAACACACACTCTGGGCCATGGCACCTAACTTGGTCGGAAAGCTCTTGCCTAGTGTGCATAAGGTTCTGAATTCAACTCCAGAGCGACACACACACACACACACACACACACACACACACACACACACACACACGAACCAAAGAGAAAAGAAAAAAGAAAAGGAAAGTCAGGGGGAAATGCATGCGCGGCTTAGTTTTTTTCTTTTGGCAGGGTCTCGCTGTGCAACCCTGGAAAGCCAGCCTCTCATTGTATCTCACTATGTAGACAGGCTGGCTTCTAACTCACAGATTCCAACTCTCAAGCCTCCATGCATGTACACCATGCCCAGCTTAAAGCTGGGGTTTTAGACTTTTTAAGAAACAAGCTTCATAGCTGGGGGGGGGGGGGTGGCTGGCCTTTAATCCCCGCCCTTGCGAGGCAGGTGTGTCTCTGAGTTTAAGGCCAGACTGACTGGCCTACAGAGTGAGTTCTAGAACAACCAGGGCTACAGAGAGAAACCCTGTCTCAAAAAAAAAAAAAAAAAAAAAAAAAAAAAAGAAAGAAGGAAAGAAAGAAAAGAAAAAAGGAAGGAAGAGGAAATAGGAAAGAAAGAAGCACCGTGCCCTGCGCCCCAGGAGGGAACCCTTTTCTTTAGCCCTTTCTAGGCTTTCTGTGAAATTAAGTGGGCCACTTGGGGCTGGACAGGCCCAGCTTCCCCAGAGGACAGAAGCTGCTGTGCTTTGCCCCTGTGGGTTGAGAAATTGTTGTCTGAGCCAGACCAGAGTGGTCCATTTCTCCAGAGGTGACCAGGAGGCTCAGGAGGAGGAACCCCAGACCTTCTTCCCCTCAGTAGCTCCTCTTCCTGCCTGCCTCAGCCCGTGGTGTCCACATGCTGTCCCTGCCTGCCCTTCCTCAGGTATATGGTGGATGCTGCAGACCAGGAGAAGATTGAAGCCTCCAAGAACGAGCTCCACAACCTGCTAGACAAGCCGCAGCTGCAAGGCATCCCGGTCAGCCAGTGATGGAGTGGGTGGGAGAGGGGGCCGGCCACAAGTCACTGGAGGCAGGACGGAGCTCCGTGCAGGGGCGTTCTGGTCCTAACCTTACGTGGCTTCTCTCCTGAATAGGTCTTAGTCCTCGGTAACAAGCGAGACCTCGCAGGAGCTCTAGATGAGAAGGAGCTGATTGAGAAAATGTGAGCTGGGTGCCCGGCCTTTCTTTGTATGCTTCAGATCCCCAAATTCCCCTGCTGTCCAAGGAACACTTCTGGGCTGGGCTTGTTGCTATCCTCAGTGTTCACCACATGGTGGCAGCAGGACATATCTTTCCAGGAGCCTCGCCCTCCTGTAACCAAGCCTTTGACCATGAAAAAGACCCTTCCTCCCCCTGGGCCCTACCCCTGGCCGCCCCGGCCCCTACCCCTGGCCGCCCCGGCCCCTACCCCTGGCCGCCCCGGCCCCTGTAGAGTTTGCTCCTTATCTCCCGCCTGCAGGAATCTGTCTGCTATCCAGGACCGAGAGATCTGCTGCTACTCCATCTCCTGCAAGGAAAAGGACAACATAGGTGCGCGGCGCGGCGCGTGGGAAGTTGCGGGCACTCTACCAGGAGTGGCCGTCTGGAAGGGAGAGGAGGGCTGTACTTCCGATGTGGTAGCACGGGGCTCTGCAGAGTTCCTGGCCTGCCACTTGCCTTTAGTGCTTGGATGCAGCAGGCGCCTCCAGGGCCCAGTTCTGCTTTCCAGGAGGAGCCACCCACACTCCCTCTTTTACCTCTGAGATTATCTTAGGTTGGATGGGATATTCCAGGCCCATCCGCCTTTGCTCGCTTCCGTGCTGTTGGGGTGGGGGTGGGGTCGGAGGGGGTCACAGCTCTAGAGTTGGTCTTGGCTGCAGTTTCAGGATGCCGGGATTAACTGTGTCTAGCTTCCTGCACACAGGAGGGCCTTAAGCCTTTCTTTCTTGTCTCCCCTCAGACATCACCCTACAGTGGCTTATTCAGCACTCGAAGTCACGGAGAAGCTGAGACTGTGGCCCGGCTCCTTGGGACCAGGGACCACAGTCACCTAACCTGAAGCCGAGCTCCCCGCCCAGCCCACTCTGTTGTCCCCCCCCAAACCCACTTGCCCTTGCCCTCACCCAGTGTGGGGAGGGCCCTCTGGGGCTCCTAGAGTCCCATTCTGCTGAGGTTTGAACTCCTGTTTTTATTGTAAAATAAATTTCCCTCCATCTGGCCCCCCAGCCTCTCTGCCCCTCTTTGTCCCTTCGCCCTCTCCACAGCCCTGGCCCCGCAACCCCTGTCCTGCCCTCCCCCTCCCCCCCTTTTCAACACCCTGTTATCGTCCTGTGTGTACAGTATATATATGTATATATATTTTAATTTTTTAATTTAAACAAAGACTTAAGATCAACCATTTGATGCTGCAGGGGCCAATCAGGGCCTGGGAGGGGCAGGCTGGAAAGATGGGAACGAGGTGCACGGCCAGCTTGGGGCGCCAGCTCTGTACAGGAAGGTGAAGGCTGGCACTTGGGGCGGGCACTGGCCTGGCCACTGGAGATTGTCCCATGCCTGGTGAAGTATTTCTGCCTCTCACTATAGGGCCTGAATACTCAGGCCAGCAGGAGCCTCCTTCTCTGTCCCCTGCATCGTTGGTAGGGCCACCAGGCAGAAACCAGATAGCAGAGACCACCAGGCCTACGTGGGGAGAAGTCAATGCCCGGGCCACCCCAGCGACCCCCATCCTCACTGTCCCTGGCCCCCAGCTCCTGCCTCTACCCAGGGCCCCCACCTCCATGGTCCGTTTCATTCTCTGTTCCCATTTCACAGAGTTGTACAAGGAGAGAACTCAGCATGGGGGGAGGGGGTGTTGGTTTTTTTGGGTTTTGTTTGTTTGTTTGTTTAATTTAATGATTTGTAAAGTGATGTTCCTCTTCCTTTTTACACTTTTCAGCTCATATTTAACCTCTGTTTGGGAAATGATTCTTGTAACTGTACATTTTTTTTTTTTTTTTTTGCCTCCTAATAATGACAACAATAAATTACCAATTTTGTGTTGGGGGCGTGTGTGGTGCTGGTTGTTTTCCACAGATGTCACTGACCAGCAAATTCCCAGGGACAGCAACACCCCTCACACAGGAAAGGCCACAGGGTGCCACACCCACAGGGCACACGTGCTCAAGCTGGCAACACAATGGCCTGTCACAAAACAGCCTCTGCTCCGTCACTCCCTTCGGTCTCAAGTGGGCTGGCAGCTGCCAAGTGCTACTAAGCAGGTCTGTTTGAGGACTGCTCAGACCCGGCCCGTGCTTGCAGTGTTCCGACAGAATTGCTGTTTCTTAACAGCCGCTTCAACCACGGCCCCTCTCCATTCCAAGCTTCATTGCCCCCCGTAGCCAGAGCTGCGCCAGTGGTTGAGAAAGGGTCCAACTGTCACTCTATGGATGCAACTCCTACACTGTCTGCCTAGCTGCGGCCCACAGCCTCAGGGTCTATGGTCCCCTCCTTGGTTCAATGTGAACCCAACCTTACCTAGTTTTACATCCATCTCCTCCGTCTCTTGAGCACCCCCCCCAACTCCCTCTTGTTCTGCCTCCTTTCAGCCTGGAAAAGAGACAGGAGTCGTCCTCTGTAGAATGCCCACTCTCCTATCACCCTCCGTCTGCAAGAAAAAGCAACCACCTTTGCCCTCGGTTTGTGAGAGGACTTGGGCTAGGCCACTATCCAGCCGTGAATATGCCCAGCTATGAGGACTTCCTGTTGCTGAGGGGATTTGAAGACAGGGTCTGGGGATTTAGCAACAGCACAGGCCCTGGCTTCCATTGACTACATGGGGAGAAGAAGGTTTGAAGAAAAACTGGATGGAGTTTGCCACCAGCTAACTGTTTCTCAGTGCTTTCTGCTTAGGAGTATAAGGTGTGCCCCTTGGTTAAGAGGGCGGGCAGGAGCTGGTGTGCTAGGCCGGCATCTGGGAGAGGATCACTGTTCTCATGCACTGAGAAGTTTCAACACTGAGCTGCTTCTTGGAGCTTGTGTTCTCCAGATGAGATTTCATGAGAAAAGATGTTGATTATCAGCACTTGCAAAGCCATTACCCTACACAGGAGATTCAGGCGATAGACACACTGCAGGGGTCCAAACCACCTGTCCTTGAGTAGGGAAAAAACCATGATGTATACTATCTATAAAAACCATGATGTTTCAGTGAATGCCTGGCCAGGGGGATGGAGAGATGACTCAGAGTTTAAGAGCATGTCCTGCTCTTGTAGAGGATATGGGTTTGGTTCCTAATACCCATGTCAGGTGGCTCCAGAAGGAGCTAACACTTCTGACCTTTATAGGCTCTGTACTCTGTTCACATGCTCCCCATAGTCATGCACACACATACACAATTTTTAAATTATAAAAAAAATAAATATTACAAATTCCTGGCTAAGTCTACTCCATATTGCTAGACATTTGGAATCCCAAAAGCATGGAGCCCAAAAGCATTAGGCCAGATGCTTACCCCCCACTACTCCCAACACCCTTTTTAGTGATGGAGGTAGAGCCCAGGGCCTTGAACATGCTAGGCAAGCAGTCTGCCACTAAACCAAAACCCCAGGACATTGTCATGCCCGGCCTCATTTCGACCATTAGGCCTCTGTGAAGGAGAGGTTGTGTTTCCCAGAGTGGGAAACTCAGAGTTGCTAAGCAGGTACACTCAAGACCCAGGGTAAAGGGCAGAGATGAGGTGGGACAAAGACACCGCCCCCTCCCCTGCCAACTGGCATCAGGCTCTTAGGACTGCCCTCCTACGTGGATATCAGAATCTCTTTCTGAGCATCACAGCTCAAGTCCACTGCCCACCCTTGAGCCAGCTTCCCCGCCCCCAAAGCCTGGGACCCCTGAGCAACAAACCCCACATTGTTCCCCAGCTGGCTCAGGCTGGAGGGATAGTGGCCCTTTCCCAAGGCTGGCCGGCCTGCTGAGTAGTTTTGCAAGCCATTCACGTTGAAGGCGGCAGCAGGGTACGGTCTAGGAGCCTTCTCTCCCCCTTAGCTCTGGGCCAGCCAGCGGGCAGGAGGGAGGTCCAGAGTGTGCCCTTTGTGGAAAAGGCCACCAAACAGGATGCAGAACCACCACCACCACCACCCCTCGGAGCCTAACATCCTCATCCTCTCCATGCCCCTAACTTCACCTCAGTTCACCCCGGCTCACTTCCTCCTCCCTCAGAAAGCTATTGGTGCATGCCGGACTGGAGTGGTGGGGGGGGAGGAGTTGGGAAAGCACCCCCTTTCTGGTGCTGTTCAGAGACGTGGCACACACACACACACACACACACACACACACACACACACACACACACACAGAGTTTCCAAAGACAAAGCTAGAGACTTTGGTCACTGTAGCAGGTCTGCCGGGGAGAAATGGGTGGGTCTCCTTCTCCAGCACAAAGGGTGTGCGTACGGCAGCTCCATCGCTTAGCAACAGCCTCCCTCTGTCTTGGCCAGCATCACTGGCCCAGGAGAAGGGAGGACGGGGGGGGGGGGGTGATGTGAGTGTGTCAGGGATCGAGAACAAGACTGCTCAGATTCTGAGTAGTGGGAGGGACACTGAGGGGACCGAAGCCCAAGGGTATGGGTGCCTGGGCAAAGAAGACTGGAACTGGGCTGCTCAGGACCCTGTGCCCTTGGGCACCTAAGCTGGAAAAGGTTCTGGTTGGCCTGATGAGCAAGTCTTCGTGGGGCCCAGAGCCGAGCCCCACATACAGGTGGCTCCAGAGAAAGCTGGGCACATGGTTTTTCAAAAATGCTGGTGGCCCAGGCTGGGCTTCACTTCTGGCCGACAGCCCAGCAGAGAGAATGGGTCCTTTGAAAGTGCCTCAGGGGTAGAGCTGGGGGACTTGATTTCAGGGGCGGGGAACCAGTAGGAGGAACCTACTATAGAGCTCTGCTGGGAAGGGTGGTGTGTTGGGGTGGTGGGGGTAGGCAGCTGGACCATCTAAGAGCCAAACAGTCCATCTAAGACATGGAACAAGAGCCACTGTTAGAGTGAGGAGGCCGAGAACCCTTGTGGCTCACGAAAGGAAGGCCTCTGGATTTTCTCAAATGGGGGCTTTGTGGAGAGGGTGAGCAGAGGCGGGGACTCCAGAGGCAAGCGGCCTGACTTCCCAGGGGCAGCTGGGTTTAGTTAGCTCTGGATAAGGGTTTGCTCACCAGTTCCCAGAGCCTTTTTCTTCTCTGTCCCTCAAAAGCTGTATAACATCCTTGGAAACTTCCCCCCCCCCCCCGAGTCAGGACCACAAATAAATACAGGCCCAGGCCAAGGTGACTGCCCGGTCCAGGAAAAGGCCTGGCTGCATGTCTAGATATTTTCATTTAGGGGCAAGGAAGTTCAGTGGGCACAGGGTTGTGGTACCTACTTTATTGCTTTTTTTTCAGAATGGCCTTCTACAGGGACGCGCCTAACAGGAGGTGGGGGTCGGACATTGTGACCGGGGCGCCTCGGGGAATGGAAGACAGAGAGAGAGGCACTCTGGGGAAGGGAGGAGACCCTTCAGAGAGCGGTCCCCAAGAGGTCCCTGGTCCAGGACGGGGGCCTAGGTGGCATTAGGCAAGTGGTGGTGGGAGACGGACTCAGCCAACCTATACTCAGATCACAAGGCCAAAGGGAGAGGAAGGGAGAGGGCCAAGCCCTGGCTCTGACGGGGCCAGATTGAGACTCTGGGCAACTCTAATGGCCTAGGCAGATCTCTTCCTACAAGTGGGAGGGACAAGGCTGGCGGGTCCCTGGGAGCATAAGACCGGCACTGTTTGCAGATGGCGCTTTGACAAACCCAAACTTTGACAAAGTGGGCCAAGTCCACCTCTAAACGGCCAGATGAGAAGCCGAAGGGAGACCTGTGGGAAAGAATCGGCAGGCTGTGGAGCTGGGATGGCACCCCTCCCCACCTGCTCCCCCCCATGCTCCCCCCCCCCAGACTCAGCAAGGTGTGCCCAGGGGCGGGGGTGACTCCCTGGGCTTATGGAAGTAGATGGAGGAAGACACTTGGGTCTTAAGCTTGCTGTCCACGCCGGCTGTCGCTGAAGAGTCCGCGGCCCCGCCACAGTCCTCACAGCAGCAGCAGCAGCAGCAATCCAGGAAGGCCCGGCCCAGGGGCCTGCAGATGCACAGGAGGAGCACAGGGGTGATGGCGCCCTTGAAGAAGGCGGAGAACTGGTTGACGAGGCCCAAGAGGTCCAGGGTCTGTCGGGTGAGCTCGGTGGACAGGTAGGCCACCACGATATTGCAGACATTCTCGGGGAGTGTGCAGAAGGCATAGACCACAGTCAGGCCCACTACGGTGCTGTTGAGCTGGCTCTCACACTGCTCATGCTTGCCGGCCCTACACTCGGGCTTCCTGCCGGGTGGGCCCCGCACCCGCCATGTCACCAGCTGACAGGTCACGGTGAAGAGGATGGGCAGACAGAAGTAGCAACCAAAATACCACCACATTCGGGCATTCTGGTAGGTCATCACCAGCGAATAGAGGGATTCGGGCAGGCTGGCTGAAGGCTTCATGACGCACAAGTCCACGGTCCCCACGGTGGTAGCAGGCTCTTGTGTCAGCTGCCACAGCAGGAGTTCAGGCACAGCCAGCATCATGGAGCCCACCCAGATGACAGCCAGTTTAGCTAGGATCGATTGGCATCGCTCAATGGGCCTCACCTTCGGCAGGGTGCTGGTGGCCACATGGAAACGGTCTATGCCCAGGGCACAGAGACTAAAGGTTGTGACTCCCAGGGAGGAGACCTGTGAACAAGGACGTAGAAGTTTCCGGCTGAACAGGAACAAGAGCTACACATGAGCAGGAGACGACAGCGGTAATAATGGTTGCTATGGGTGAAGCATTGCCTACCCGCCAGGCAACCCCTATGTGCCGTGAACTCTCAGCTGCGCCCCCCTGAAGAGTCAGTACACACCTGTGAGCCTAGCCCTCCCGTCAGCCATCGCACAGGCATAAAAAGTGACTTATCCACAACCACACAGCTGATGGATGGGAAAGCTGAGGTGGGTACACATCCCTTGCTCCTTTTT